ATCTCCAGGGATCTCCCCAGGGTTCTCCTCCCTCCAACCGTGGCCGTGGATCTCCCCAGGGTTGTCCTCCAGCCACGTCCTCCAACTGCAGCCACGGATCTCCAGGGATCTCCCCAGGGTTCTCCTCCAACCCTGTCCAAGGATCTCCTCGGGGTTCTCCTCCAACCTTGTCCAAGGATCTCCTCGGGGTTGTCCTTCAACCACATCCCTGTATCTCCCCAGGGTTCCCTCTCTACAGATCTCCCCAGGGTTCCCTCTCCACGGATCTCCCCAGGGTTCTCCTCCAACCCTGTCCATGGATCTCCTCGGGGTTGTCCTCCAACCTTGTCCACGTATCTCCCCAGGGTTCCCTCTCTACAGATCTCCTCAGGGTTGTCCTCCAGCTGCGGCCACGTATCTCCTCAGGGTTGTCCTCCAACCCTGTCCACGGATCTCCCCAGGGTTCCTCTCTCCACGTATCTCCCCAGGGTTCTCCTCCAGCCATGGCCACCTTATCTCCAGGGATCTCCCCAGGGTTGTCCTCCCTCCAACCGTGGCCGTGGATCTCCCCAGGGTTGTCCTCCAGCCACGTCCTCCAACTGCGGCCACGGATCTCCACGGATCTCCCCAGGGTTCTCCTCCAACCTTGTCCAAGGATCTCCTCGGGGTTGTCCTCCAACCCTGTCCATGTATCTCCCCAGGGTTCCCTCTCTACAGATCTCCCCAGGGTTGTCCTCCAGCTGTGGCCACGTATCTCCTCGGGGTTGTCCTCCAACCACATCCCTGTATCTCCCCAGGGTTCTCCTCCAACCTTGTCCACGTATCTCCTCGGGGTTGTCCTCCAACCACATCCCTGTATCTCCCCAGGGTTCCCCTCTCCACGGATCTCCCCAGGCTTCTCCTCCAACCATGTGGATCCTCGCCGTCTACATCTTGACCTTCATCGTGGGCTTCCCGGCCAACGTCTTCACCTTCGTCACCCTCTTGATCAAAGCCTGCCGCCGGGTGTCCCCTTCCGACCTCCTTCTCCTCAACTTGACGGCCGCCGACCTTCTCCTCCTCCTCTTCCTCCCCTTCAAGATGGCCGAAGCCGCCGCCGACATGACTTGGCCGTTACCTTCCATCCTCTGCCCGGTGGCCAACTTTGTCTTCTTCTCCAGCATCTACCTCAGCAGCCTCTTCTTGGCCGCCCTCAGCGTCGAGCGGTACCTCGGGGTGGTCTTCCCCCACCACTACAAGGGCAGGAGAAGACTCTGTCAGGTGGTGGCCGCCAGCGTCGTCTTCTGGCTCTTGGCCTGTTCCCTTTGCTCCGTGGTCTTCATAGCCCAGTTTCACGGTGGGAAGAACCCGGCGGTGGCCAACAGGTGGGTGGTCAACACCTCTGGTGGCTTCACGGGCAACGAACCAAGGCTGGTGGCTTCCAGGTGGTCAACCAAGTCGGTGGTTTTGACCTTCAAGAGCTTGGCCATCACCAGCCCTGGTGGCTTCAAGCCCAGTAGCTCCCAGTAGCTCCAGTCCCGAGTACTCCATCCTTGATTGTTTCATCCACAGGACCTCCACCATCTCCAGCCCAGGTGACCCCAACCCCGGTGGCTTCAACCACGATGGCTTCAAGATCTCCAGCCCAGGTGGCTCCAACCCCGGTGGCTTCAAGTTCTCCAACCGCGATGGCTCCATGGATGACGTCTTCGCCCCCCACGGCTCCAAGCCCACCAAGGGCTCCAAGATCTCCACCCCCAACTTCTTCCTCTCCCACATCTCCACCATCTTGGACACCTCCAGCCCCACCGCTGTCCCCCGGCACTCCAACCTCCCCACTTCTTCTGCTCCTGGCGCCCACCAAGGTCCCACCCCCTACAAGTGCTACGATGACTTCTCCCCGGACCAGCTGAGCTTCGTCCTCCCGCTCCGCCTCACGCTCTTCCTCGTCCTCTTCCTCCTGCCCTTCACCAGCACCATCTTCTGCTACGTCAACTTCGTCCGGGTCCTCTTGTCCCGCCCCAACATCCCGCTGGAGAAGAAGCAACGAGCCGTGGGGCTGGCGGTGGCCACCATGGTCAACTTCGGGGTCTGCTTCGCCCCCTACAACATCTCGCACGTGGTGGGCTTCGTGGAGAAGAAGAGTCCCCCCTGGAGGGTCTACGCGTTGCTCCTCACCAGCCTCAACGCCGCCCTTGACCCCGTCATCTTCTACTTCTCCTCCAGGGCGGTGCAGAAGGCCATGAGGGGGGTGGTGGTGGCCGTGGGGGACAAGTTGAGGGTGGTGGCGGGGTGGTGGCACCAGCCACCTTCTCCTGGAGTCACCCAGGAGGAGGTTGAGGGCTCCTTCAGATGAAGCTTCTCCAGGAGGTTGGGATGGACCCGTCATGGGGGGGGTTTGGGGTGGGGCCACCACAGGGGGTTGAGATGAGGCCACCAAAGGGGGTTGAGGTGGGGCCACCGTGGGGAGTTGGGTGGCCTGGCCACGGCGGGGGGGGGGGTGGCCTTGGGGGACAAGTTGAGGGCACCCAGGAGGAGGATGAGGGCACCTTGAGATGAAGGTTCTCAAGGAGGGTTGGGATGGGGCCGCCATGTTGGGGTTGGGTGGTCCCATGGGGTGGGGGCTCCGTGGGCCAATGTCCTCCCTGGGGTGGTGGCCTCCATGGGGTGATGTTCTCCCTGGGGTGGTGGCCTCCATGGACCCACATCCTCCATGGGCTGATGACCTCCGTGGGCCAGTGGCCTCCATGGGGTGGTGGCCTCCATGGGGTGATGTTCTCCATGGGGTGGCGGCCTCCATGGACCCACGTCCTCCATGGGGTGGTGGCCTCCATGGACCCACATCCTCCATGGACCCATGTCCTCCATGGGCTGATGACCTCCATGGGGTGGTGGCCTCCATGGACCCACGTCCTCCATGGGGTGGTGGCCTCCATGGACCTATGTCCTCTGTGGGCCCGTGGCCTCCATGGGGTGGTGGCCTCCATGGACCCACGTCCTCCATGGGGTGGTGGCCTCCATGGGGCAATGTCCTGACCACCTGGGAGGTGGAAAATGGGTGTGACCCCCCCAACCCCTCCACCAAAAGGCACCGGGCTCATTTCCCTATGCAAATGAGGGTGCAAACGAGGATGCAAATGAGGAGCAGGAAGAGACAACGAGGCCCCACCCGGACACTGGGTCCTTCCTCCTCCCCCCCCCCTCCCCCCTGTTTTGGGTCCATTTCGGGGTCTTTGTGATAATTATCATCATTCCAATTATGCTAATTAGGAGCAATTAAGGCATCACCTCCCCGCCCGGGGGGCGTTTAATTAAGAGGGGCGTTAATCACCCTCCCTTAGCGACAAAGGAGGGAAAGAAACTGGCGATTCCATAAAGAAAAGTAATTAAAATCGATAATTTCCAAACAATACTAATGAATAATCAATGATTATTAACAATAAGGAATTTTATAGCTAAAAACAATTAAAAACAAGGGGAAGTTAATTAGGGACAACGAATGCGCGCGAGCGACAGCCGCTATTTAATGAAGAAATCACTCATTAGGCCCCAATTAGCATAAGGTCATTGAATATCGGCATTGGAAATGAAGGGGGGAGACTGAGTGGGGGGGGCGATTAATGCATTAATTCGGTGTTAATTATTATTTAACAGATGGCGGGCGTTAATTAGAGCCGGGGGGGGATTAATATAGACATTAAAAACGTAGAATTTAAGGCAGAACAGGAAGCAATAATAAAAATAATAAATAATAATAATAAATTAAGGGTGATGGAATAACTTTTGCGCATTTTTAAGGGATAAATTTAGAATAATGAGGAATAAAACCAATGATTATTAACAATAAGGAATTTTATAGCTAAAAACAATTAAAAACAAGGGGAAGTTAATTAGGGACAACGAATGCGCGCGAGCGACAGCCGCTATTTAATGAAGAAATCACTCATTAGGCCCCAATTAGCATAAGGTCATTGAATATCGGCATTGGAAATGAAGGGGGGAGACTGAGTGGGGGGGGCGATTAATGCATTAATTCGGTGTTAATTATTATTTAACAGATGGCGGGCGTTAATTAGAGCCGGGGGGGGATTAATATAGACATTAAAAACGTAGAATTTAAGGCAGAACAGGAAGCAATAATAAAAATAATAAATAATAATAATAAATTAAGGGTGATGGAATAACTTTTGCGCATTTTTAAGGGATAAATTTAGAATAATGAGGAATAAAACCCGCCCCGGGGCCTAATTAGGGCCTAATTAGCGGCGCCAGGCCTGGGGGGGGCGGTTGCCATGGCGACGGTCCTCCCGCTCCCCCGCCCTCCAACATGGCGGCGCCCAGGGGCGGCCGCTCTGGCCCCGCGCGCCCTTGGCGACTCTATGGCCGGGACCTTGCGGCGGCGCCGGCCAATGGGAGCGGGGAGAGGGCGGGGCATCGGCGGGCGGCGGCCAATGGAAGCGCGGCTTCCCCCCCCGCCGGAAGAGGTTCGGCGGCTGCGCAGGGGAAGGGGCGCTGCCGCGCGCGGCGCTGGCCAATGGGAGAGCGCGGAGGAGCGCTAAGGGGAGGGGCGGAGCTGGCG